CGGGCAGCCCTGCAGGCAGCGCAGCGCAGCCCACCTCTCCCGCGCCCGGCCCGCGCGCGGGCGGCCGGGAGCGCAGGGCCAGCACGGCACTCACGAAGATGGATGGCTCCTTCAGGCGCTGCCGAGCCTCCTCCGCCTCCAGGCTCTGCTGCTTCCGCCTGCACAGGCACGGGCACGGGCCCGGGGTGAGCGGGGGGAGACCAGGGATGTGGTTATTACCCCCGGCATCCTCCGCCGGAGCCCAGCCCTGAGTGACCCCAGCCCAGGGCCTGGCACAGCCCCGAGCCCCTGCCCCCATGGTACCCCCTTCTGCAGACCCCGGGGGGGTGCCCGTGCCCATGGCCCCTTGCCTGTGCTCCTCGATCTGCTCCTCGCGCTCCCGGTAGCGCCGCTCCCGCTCCTCCTGCTGCAGCCGCTCCTGCTCCATGCGCTCCTGCTCGAAGCGCAGCCGCGCGTCCAGCGCCTTCTTCCGCTCTTCCTCCTTGCGCAGCTCCTCCTCCTTCTGCAGGGCAGCACGTTAGCCCACCGGCCGCCCCCACCCCGGGCCCTGGCAGCAGAGCCCAGGGCCCCCAGCCCAGCCCGGGGCTGGCAGCTGCCCCCTGCCCCACCTTGGCCTGCTCCCAGAACTGCTCCCGGTTGATGCGCTTCATCTCCACCGTCGCGTCTGTCTTCTGGTAGGTGGTTCCCTGCAACAGAGCGGCGGTGAGCGGGCCCGGTGCCCGACCTGGCGCCGTACGAGGGCCGGGACAGGCGGGCGGGCACGGCGTTACCACAGGCTCGGTGTTCTCGTCCTCGCGCAGCCGCAGGCGGTGCAGCACGGGGCTGGAGATGCGGGCCAGGCCGTTGGAGAGCCGCTGCCCGATGGCCCCTGGGTCGATGTCCTCCACGCTGCTGGCGTTGACAATTACATCCACGCCCTGCATGGGGGCAGCACATGAGGGGCTGGCCCCGCCTGGCACCCGGCTGTGGTGGGTCCCTGCTGGGTGTTGCATGCCCCGTCCCTGTCTGTGCCTGCACCCTCTGACCTGGAAGAACTCCGCGATCTTGGCTACGTGGCTGGCGCAGGCGCACTTGCGGGCATCAGGCACGTCTTCGCCCACCTGCCGTGGCACAGAGACGGGGTCAGGAGGGGCCACAGGAAGTGCCCAGCCCCATACAGCCCTGCCCGCCCCTCGCCTGGGCCGCGTGGAGCTCTGCTAGGGCAGCGCTGGTGCAGGACAGGGCGGCAGCCTGGAGAGCCTGGGACCTGCGCCCCATCACGGGGCTGCCTGTGTGCCCAGACCCCAAGGCCCCGCCTGAGCCTGTGCTTTGGTGTAGCCTGGGGAGCAGCTCCCAGGCGTGTATGGCCCTGCTGCTGCCCGCGCCCACGCACGGAGGGCAGCCAGCATCCCGGAGAACGATCTGCCATCCCACGGCTCCCGGCCGACGAGCCCACCTGGCACGTGAGCGAGCGCTGCTCTGGGGATGGGCGCAGTGACGGGCAGAGCGGCCTGGGCCCAGCACCCCCCGGGGCCACCAGCAGCCACTTGCAGAGCCCGCGTGGCCAGCCCACGGCCCAGCCCCGGCCTGGCCCCGCTCACCCAGTTGACAAGGACGTATTTGGGCAGCGCGGCCTGGGGATCCTTCACGCTGCAGAAGCCGTACATCACCTTCTGGATCTCGAAGTGGCTGGAGAGCTCCAGCAGGCCACCACCTGGCAGGGGCAGGGCACGGTCTGTCCAGCCGCCCTGCTGCTGCTGGGCCTCCAGCCAGGGCCGCGGCACGGACGTTGAGGCCTGTCAGGGGTCCAGGGGCCCTGCCCTCACCCCCCACCCGTCCCAGGCTTGCAGCCCTGGCAGATGCTCCCCGCAGAGCCGGGCCCTGGGGACCCGCGAGTTGCGGTGGAGAGGCAGGGCAGGGCGCGGGGATCTCACCTCCAGATGCTGCCAGCTTCAGCTCATCAGAGTCGTCCTCATACGTGTAGAGTGCCCTGTGGGGAGGAGCACGTGAGCGGCCCCAACGCAGCCCCCGCCTCAGGCTGGGAATGGGGTCCCCGGGGCTGGGGCAGCTCTTACGGCCGCCGGCCCGGCCTGCAGCGCGCTCCCCAGGCAGGCCCGTGCCCCCCTGCGCCGGCATCGCTGCCACTGCTCTGGCACCAGCAGATGCACCTCCCTCCCCCGCCCAGCCGGCCCGTCTCCACAGCACAGATCGGCCCCCCCGGCCCCCGCCCTGCAGATGCTCTGCGGTGCCCAGCGGTGAGGGACGGACCCCCGGCTGGACCGGGCAGGCTCACAGGCACGCACCGAGTGGGCCTGCGCAGCGCCTGTGGGGGTCTGGCAGTGCTGCCTGCGGGTTGCGGGGTGGGGGGAGCAGCACCCTGCTGGAGCTGCTCACGTGCCCGCCAGCGTGCGCCACCCGGGGAGGGGGAGCAGCAGCCAATCACGGAGCCCCAGTCACGGGTGCAACGGATGGGGCTCCATGGCAACCGTTGCTTGGATACCACCCTGTCTCCTGCCCCCGCTGGGGACATCCCCTCTGCCCCGCCCAGCCGGGGGCTGCCCCCCTCCGGGACCCACAGCCACCCCGGTGGCGGGGGCAGGGGCCGGGCCGAGTGGGTCCCAGGCGCAGGGCTGGTGGGCGAAGAGGTGGAAATCTCCACCTCTCCAGGCAACCGGCATCCTCTGTCTCCATGGCAACCGGCCTGCCACCCAGCTGGGCGATTAGCGGGGGAGGCAGGGAGCGAGGCCTGCGTCGGGCATGGGCCCAAGCGGGGCAGTCGCTGCCCTGTTGGCCGGCCTCGCTCGCGCCTCCCTGGCTGGCGCAGCCCGTGCCCCTCGCCCGCCCGGCGCCCGCCCCCTGCTCACGGAGGCTCTG